TGATGACTGTACAGAGTGAGTATCCCTTCTGATCAGCAGAGGTTGATCTTTGCTGGAAAACAGCAGGAGAATGGATGCACTTTGTAGCATTAGATGATCAGAATTTTGCGTGATCGACATAATTCTTAATGATCAATTAATCGATCATCGATTAATTGTGCCCATCCCTAGTAAATAAATAAATATTATAAATAAATATTTCAATATATAAATAAATAATTATATTGAAATATTACATTCCTTTTAAAGAGCTTCCTTTGCAAAATTCCATCCCAGCTATGTTTTGTTCCTGGAGTCTTTGCGGCTGATCTACCTGTCTTGGTTTTTGATATGTTCATGTAAAACAGAGGGGAGGAGTGCTTTCCCCACTGCGGGATTTGGTGGCTTCACATTGACATTAAATTGTGTAAGTTTTAATCGACAGGTGGGTGCACTGTAACTGTTTTTTCAGATGGCTGAATGTTTAATAGCACCACCTTTTGCCCGTGTCTAGTCTGGTCGAGTCTGTATTTCAGACTGGGCTCCTGCTATTGTTGGACTACGAACTTCCCATTTAGAAACCAGCAGGTGACGTTATAGAGACTATGGGCTCTATTTTCGTGAGATGTGGCGCAGGCGTGGCTTAAGTCAGGTCCCAAGGCGTTCCCAAGCACAATTTGGTATTTTGGTGAGCGTCGCAGCCCAGCGTAAGTATCCCCACTCCCTAACTCAGCTCCTCCCAGCGGCGTAAGTCGTAGCGAGGGAGGAGAGAGGGCGTGGAGTGGGTTTAACACAGCCGAAACCTGTATTGACCAATAACATAAGCTCCTCTCCTCGCCTTTACATCTGCCACCGGCGAGGCGTATTACAATTTTTGTGAAGTAGTCAAAGAGATCAAGAGATAACTGAAGACAGTAATGCCACAAGATGGCGACAGAAGGCAGCTCCTCAACAAGTGTCACTGTAAACGCTGCAGAGGGCGTCCTTCACACTGTCTCATATAAGCACAGATGGATTTGGTGTGTGTAATGTTGGACCCACTAGTAAAACAAACACACTTTTCCACAAATAAAGACACTCACATAAAGTTGCACATATTAGAACCTCACGTGACAAAGGTGGGTTGTGCGCACAGTTCACGACATAAACTCCTAAAATGGCATTAAAATCGGAACCATCTGTGCGTAATGACGCATCGCGCTCTGTGGCCTGGCTCTTTCTTTCATAGATGTTGGCATATAAAATAAATTTGGCTCACACAACTGAATATTATAATATTCGTATGTAGGCTTTAAGTAAATAACTCATCTGATCACTGAAATAAATCATCTGTTCAGCCGCAGCTGCAGCAGCAGGACGGGGAGAGGACACGGAGACATGTCCAGGTCGAGCTGTGCGAGAAATAAGAGGAAGAGGAAGAAAGAAAAGGAGGGAGATGAATTACATATCTTGTTAACTTCATCATGTGTGTCTATTTACTAGATATTTAATTTAATTTAATGCGGTTTCAGCTGAGTTGATTCGGTCAGGTTGTGTAGCCAAATGCGTGCCAAATGCGCTCATCAGATCAGATATAGATCAGAATATATCTATATAGATCTAAATGTATGTGCTGACTCAGATTATTAGTTGTTGATGATTATTTATTGCACTGAAATGTGCCTGACACTGTGGAAACCTGCCAGTGAGGCATCGGTGACGTATGCAGATACGCCGCTGGTCTATCAAAATACCACTAGACCAGCTGCGCTCCGCCTGCGCTGAAAGCTGACTAGGTTTGAATTGGCAAGCTTTCAGCGCACTTTATACGCCACCGGCGAGCACGAAAATGTCACTGCGGCAGCTGATTCTGTCAACACCTCCCCCTGCCTCGCCACCACGCCCAGCTTGGCGGACCTCGGTGCGCCTCAGTCCACGAAAATACCAAACTGGCTGTACACTGGGCTCTGCCAGACGAAAATACCACTGCGCAGGGATCCGCCACCCTCTGCCACCTCACCGGCGGACACGAAAATAGAGCCCTATATTTGATACAGCCTGTGGAGATAACACGAAGACCCTGTCAACATGAAGCACCTCACAAGATTTCACCCCCATACAAAGACTTTCTCCAAGGGTCACCAAATGCCATTCATTATCTTATTGTTTAAGGCCCCATAAACATGAGGGCATCACGTGCTCTGTACCTTTTTTTTTCCCCTCCTGTCTGTCACCAGCTTAGTGCTGACAGACAGGAGGGGAAAAGCTTAAAGCGAGAGGTCTGACATGATGATGACGATCATCTACTAGGGTCCACAGCTGGCTGAAAGACATCCAGCTCAGGTAAAAAAAAAAACAAGGAGCACATAGGGAACAGTTCAGCGTATCAACCAGGGTAACTCTGCTCAGCATGAACATCACCATCACTTTGCCCACCTGACAGTGGTGAATTTCCTAAACTACCACCTGCTTCATCCATATATCAGCTCACAGTGCAGTCCAGAAAAAGTCAATGTGAAGGATTCAGCTGTTTTCATTCACACAGTCATGCTGTCCACATTTCCCACAGTTCTGTTGTTCAACATGATGAACACTGTTTTATCCCCTCACCTTTAGTTAACTAGTAAAGCTTTAGATGCAAAGACCTGCAGTGAGTTTTGTCAACACTTTAGGAGTGAATCATCAGCAATACTTCACAATGTTCTTTGTGTGTCCATTGTGTTCCCAGCTAATCCACGGATTTGAAACTTTTTCAAGTCCTCTTCTGTCTCCTCATGTTAACCTCAGACTGACTAAATAACAAAAAACCTCTTGGGTTTCTAAAGAGGTGAATCAGGGTCCAGAAATGTGCTGTAGAAATATTAAGGGTGGAGAACAGAATCATGTTTTCAATTTTACCACTATGAGAGAAGGTCTGGGATGGGATGAAATTAAAGCTCCACTGAGTGAGATTAAGGAGAATTTTGGCAGAAGTATTGATAGAACAGTGTCAACTATAAAATATAAAATTCACAACAAGGTTTTTATTGCCTTCAAATAAGAATCATTGTGTTTTTGTTATCTCAGAATAACCCCTTTGGATCTTTAGAGGGAGCTTGTCCTCTTGCACCTACAGCACATGAAAACAAACACTGAATACTGCCTCTCACAGTATGGGTTTTTATCCCCATAACTGGTGTTTGGGTGTGTATGGGCATGCATTTTTTCGTGACACCCAAATTTAACAGCAGACACATCAGCAGCAAGCAAGTGAAGAAATATGGAGGACAGAAAATGCTGGAAGCAAATAGAATATTTGCTTGAGAGTGACAAAGATGCAACAAAGGCTGATGTGCAGTGTTGCCAGATCTCCTTTGAAAGATATCAAATAGCGTATTACTTTAGCTGAAATTAGCTGAAATCAAATCCTTCTTACAGGAAAGTTTACACACGTGTATTAAAGTACAGGCACTATAATGCACTGTTTTATTTTAGCCTCTGTGAACAAACCAGTGCTTGGCAGCTCGTGAATGACACTACGCCGCTTCCTCCTCTGCCTGCTTCAAGTCACTGAGAAGTCGTTCATTTCGTTCACAGTCTGACTGATACATGTCGGTCATTCGCTGTGAGCAAATCACGAGACTCCACCCGCCCGCTTGCTGGCTGGCTGTGTGCCACAGAGTCAAAGGCAGTAGTTCAACTCAGATATATAGAAACACTAGATAGCTTACCTACGCTGTGAGCCAATGGGGACTGACATCGTCACACGGCGGCCATCTTACCTAGGGGCTGCTGGCCCACTGATAACATTAATGTCTATGGTGCATGTACTGTTTCCATGACCATATCCTGCTCAAATTTCAACTGATTTTCAAATGAATTGGTTTGTTATACACGCCAGAGATGTAGTTATGTTTCTGCATATTTATGGATAATTATAACCATGGACTTTTATATTAAATTAAAAAAGTAGATAGTAGAGCAATACCTGCCATAGCTGCACACATACACACACAGTGAAATTAAATTGTCAGTGTTTTTGATATTAAACATTTAATAGTTAGATATTTTGTAGTTCTATCTAATACATACATTAAATATAAAGGGGTAATTTGACCCACATGATATTTTAAACTTAAACTTAAAACTTTAACAAATAATGTATTTACTGATTAAAAATAATTTTATAGGACATTTCCCTTTTTCAAATAGTCTTAATTATTTTCTTTGGGTTATTAAACAATATTAATTAAATTAAAGTTTGTTTTTCAGAACCTTTTAATATTTGCAATTGTTAATATAATATTGAAAAATTCTCTTGAATGAACGTATTTATCAAAAATAAAACATCATTCTGCTAATTTGAGTAGCAAAGACCTAATAAAAATTATGTAAATTGTGATTCATATTGGTTCAATTTATCCCAAGGCTTTTGGTTCATCTAGCCCTATGGCCATTGTTTTGATAAAACCTAATTAATCTAATGCTTCAGAATGATATTTTGCTGAATGATTCACATAGTTCTATACATTGAATATCACTAACATGCATGATGTATAAGTTTAGACCTGGGTCCATTTGCTTTAACATAAAAATAATTATACCACAAATGTAAAAAATTCCACGGCCTGTTGGAAATGATGTTTGTGTTCTTATTTTAGGGTCACATAACAACTCATGTGTATAGTTTTAAAGATCAAGGGGATGGTTCGTTCATCTTACCTGTTCTGCTACATATATTTTAATATAAAAATTTTAATAAACACATTCAGTAACATGACATAAAGGTTCTTTTATTAAACAGATGTGAACAATTACAAAACAATTCAACATTCACTCCAAACCAACAGTCACACTAAACCATGCAACATTCACTCCAAATCAACAGTCACTCACACAGTGGCAACAAAACCAACACATATACAACTGCACGGACAGTTTGAGCTACTGCCCCTTGAAAAGCACAGTTTTAGTGAGCTTCTGTCTCACATTATCTTTCTGTATGCTTAGTGTAGTAATTTTAGCAATGTGGTGCAGCCTTAACTTGAAAAACAGGGACACAACTAATGTCTGCAGTGTGTTGTGGTGACTGTCGATGCCATAGCGTGTATCATTAAATGCTCCCCAAGCAAAAACACGTCCTCCGTACCTATCCTCTTCTGCACCATGTAGCGGACCTCCAGCATTTTGATGGGCTGTGATCTTGTGGAATCTGCTGCTGCCTGGCGAACGACCCGCTCTGCAGCCCTGACGACTTTCACTATTCCTTCGGCTGGAATGACCAGACCTCCATTGTTTTTCAGGGTCAGCAGGTGGTAGCTCTGGTCCTGACGGGCAGATTCAGCATCCGTCACAAGGCTGGACCGGCAGACATCACAGGACAGCTTCCTCAGTGTGCGTCGCACCACAAATCCTGAAATTAGCAGAAGACAGATTCATATCATAATAACTTATTTCTTTTTTTGAACTAACATCCAATTAATAAGCCACCGTTTCCCCCCCAGATTTTGATTATCGGCTGCTATATTGGTTGTAGGCTAAATCCACTAACGGTCAACCTCTACCTGAAATGTACACAAGAACGTTCTCCACAAGACCATCAAAGTGCTTGGGAAGGTAGCTGTGGTCATGTACAAGGGCAGGAATGTCAGCAAATGGGGATGGAAGATCTTCTCCTTCTGCTGAGGACATGTCTACAGCTGACAGGTTGGCTATAGATGTGTCGATGTGGTAGGACTGAGCAGCAGAGGACACGGCTTCAGCTGGTAGGGACTCTGTGTCATCCTGTGCTGTCACATTGCCTTTGCTGCTTGGTTTAACAACCCCACACCTGGCCATCAGCTTCCGGAAGATATACCTGAATTCGCTCGCATTAGGGTTGTTATTCCAGCCACCTTAAAAAAAACATTTAAAAAAAACATATAGACAAATATATTACACAGATATTCCATATATCTTTATGGTACTAAAATGCTGAGTCCATACTCAATGCTGAGTTCAATACAATGTTATGTTCTCTAAATCTACAAAAGAAAACCCAAATCAGTGTTCTCTTAATAAATTGATTTTAATCAATTGGCTTGTCTAAAGGAAAAATTATGTTTTGTGTCTCTTGACAAATGTGCCAGTTTTGATTGTAAAGGTTCCCTACACCTTGTTGTAGTTTGCACATGCTTATTCATAAAAGTGTATGAGTGACATGAGCAAGTGACAGCCTGGGGTTCTCAATCCTTTTACACAGATTACCACCTCAAATAATATTGGGTTCTTCTAGTAACACTATCAGTAACACCATCAATACTCACAACATCAGGCGGAGGTTCATCCTGGTGCAGGTCCATGGGCAGGTTTTCTTCTGCTCTTCTAGAGGCAGCTGTGCTTCTTGTTGCTACCGGCTAAAATAAACAGTTAAATATCAAAATTTTCTTACTGCACAACAATTTATGTATTCCTAAACTTGCAGAATCATAAAACATTGATTTAGGAGCTTGAGTTTTCATTTGGAGAGTGGAATCCACAGTTTGAAGGAAAGACTGATAAAGACCTTTTTCATGCTGTAAGGAATCCTCTGCATTATTATTTTCAAGATTTTAAAGGACACCTTTCAGTCAGCAGTTTCAGCAGTAAGGAAATGAGCTAAACTTCTTAAATATTATGTGCACAAACATCACAAAGTTTTCAAGAGATTCACACACACTAGTTAAGGATATTCACATGCGTGGAATGTGCAATTTTAAAACAGACAGCCATTCAAAATATAAAAAAGGGCTGAGAACCAGTGCTCGAATGGATAGCTGTCAATCATCTTCTGACGCTGCCGCCCAGTGGATGGGAAGGGAGGTGTTCTCCACACATGTAAATATCCTCAATTTCTAAGTAAATCAACGCACTTTTAAGAATTCACAAGCAGAGTAAAAGATTTATAAATGACAAGTCATGATAAATGCACACATAAATTAAAAAAACAAAACATCTGAAAATCATGGATATATTTGTGGATCTGAAAGACACATGTGAAAATTGTGTATAGATACAGTATTTGTGGATTTGTTTGAGACAAATCTCTCCCCATATGTGCACGCTCATATAGTTCGAATTCACAGGCAATTTAGGAGCAAACCACCTGAGGGCTTTAACCTTGTCTGATTCAGAGATAAGAAGTCCAAAGTGAAGTTGGAAATCAAGTTGGATGCAATCTTTAACCTCTCCTGTAACCTGCTCGATCTGATCTTAGTCTTATAGAAAATAAGGCTTAACTATTTCTCTGGTGTATTTGATCATGTCCGCTCAAACAATCTTATGAATGAGGTGGAGAGAAAGTTGGAGAGAGGAAAGAGAACAAGAGAAACCAATAACTGAGTTTATTTCTGAGTCATAGGAAAACAAAGCTCAGGTTTTTTTTCCATGTCAACCATTTTCTCTGGAGCTCTGGAGAGCGTCACATTACAGCTACAAATAAATACCAAGAAAACTTAGCATTAAGGAATCTGCTCCAGTGTGAGTGCCGCGATTAGTCAGAGTGCTGTTGAGTTTGTGAACACATACGTGGGGGACAGCAAAGGAGAGTAACTCCAGGCATGTTCCTCTGGTGAAGTGGAAGCCAGAAAAGCTTAGTAATTTGCTGCAGTTGTTTTTAATATTATTCCCATTCTAGAGGCAGACAGAGTGGGTCAGCAGTACAGACATGACTAAACGATGACATTACAGTTTTAAAACATGCTCTGCTGTCAGCTATCCTTTTCATACTGCCAGTTCAAGGCTCACGCCCCAGTACTGTCTCACCTTCAGTTTGAATGTTATAGAAGCCTGATGGTTGGACTAAGTCACCCCTGTGCCAGTATCTGAGGCAGTAACAGAAGTGTGTGTGTGTGTGTGTGTGTGTGTGTGTGTGTGTGTGTGTGTGTGTGTGTGTGTGTGTGTGTGTGTGTGTGTGTGGCTCCCACATTAACATATTGCAATGTAAAATCACACTGGGACACAAATACTGCTAAAGTCAAAAAAAAAAAAAAAAAAAAAAAAGGTGAAACAAAGTGGTCATCAGGAGTTTATTGGATGGCCTAACAATGTATTTACACCTTTGTGTAAATGTTTGTGGTTTAATGTTTTTCCTACAACAACTACATAGGGAAGTAACAATGACCCTCCAGGCATGTCCAAACTATTCCACAAAGGGCCGGTATGGCTGCAGGTTTTTTTTCCAACCAAGCAGCAGCACATCAGACTTGATTCATTTTATCAGCTGATCTCAGTCTTCAGACAGCTGATTAGTCGACTGCATGCTCTTGATTGGTTGGAAGAGAAACCTGCAGCCACATCAGCCCTTTGTGGAATAGTTTGGACATGCCTGCTACTGAGCTGAATAATGGTTGTAGCAGCCAGCACTCTACTAAGATTAAGTGCTGCTGAATCAGAACTTCAACTAAACACTTTAGATATGAGTTTATTAGTGTCGTTGGTCATTGGGTAGGTTTGTTGTTGTTGTTGTTGTTTGGTTGATTGTTTGGTTTGTTGTTTGGTTGACTGGTTGATTGGTTAGTAGGTTATTTGGTAACTTGGCTTATTGGTTGTCTGTTGGGTTGAGTAATTGATTGGTGGTTCGGTCAGATGATTGGTTGGTTGGTTGTTAAGTTGGTAAATTTTGGTGTTTGGCTGACTGTTTGATTTAATGATTTGTTGTTTGTGTGTTTATTTATTATTAGCTGTTTACTTAGCCAGTTAGCCCTAGGCACATATTATGACCATCCTCTCAGACTCCATTCTTTGGTCTAACAACTAAATACAGATGATTCCTTTTACGATAATTATCATTATTGATCATTGTTGAACTCATATTATTGGCAGTAAAACCATATGAGCCACAATACCAACTCAGCACATCATCAATCTTCATCTATGTTGGTCTTATAATGAGCAGTAACTCTGGCTAACTTTTATATTTTAGAATCACTAGCATTTACAAAAAGGCTGGTGAAACTTCCAGATGAAACTTCCTTTTCCACGCTGTTGAAACTCAACACTGATCGAGTTTTGAGCAGTTTGTTAGCTTGCACACAGATATTCCAGCAGGAGTGTTCCCCTGCTTTTTTTTTTCTTCTGCAGGTAAACAATTGGTCTACCTGACTCATGCAATCCATGTGCTGAAAAAACAGATGCACAAACACAGATATGATACTTTTCTTTAGAATCTTTATACAGGGATTAATGTATTTGTTTTTGTGAGTCCATCTCTCTTGAGGCAGACAGCTGTCCACCAATAAGTTTGGCCATGCTAAAGGTTTTTACAAGCCATTTTGTGCAGTGCTCACTCATGGTGGGCCTCTAAATAACATGACAAAGGGCTCATAGTGAGTGGTCACATAGGCGTGAGGATAAATTCACATCAGTGAAGATGTCTGAGGCCTGAGGTTGTTCATTTTTATTTCAGATATACTTGAAGAGAGAAAAACATTTGGAAGTAAGAGAAGGTGACGTTATGTAAGCTGTAACCTGGGAGGGCTGTTATGCAGAGAAGTTGCTTAATACCTGCCTGTGTGTGTTTCTGTGTGTTTTACTAAACTCACCACATCCACATGTAGGTTACAGTGTGATGGTTTGTGGTGTCTCAGTACGAGGTAAGAACAAATCCTGAGTGAGCCTTTCAAAGTGACCCAACATTACATCACAAATTGTTATAAGACCTTTGTAATGATCTATACTGTGTCTTTCTCCTGCGTTATACTCGGTGCTGTTATTGTCTGGTAGAGAAAAAAATTGTAAAATTCTAGCATGGACCTACCACAGTGGAGCCCCGCTGTGGAGCTTGGTAAGGCTGATGAACAACAATGATCTCAGTGTTGGTCTGGTCTAGGGTGGAGGCTCAGTTTCTCCCTGGCAAACAGATGCTGATCCACACAGCAGGTTCATTTAAGGCCTCTTGGAGGATGATACTGGTGTATGAAGCCTCATTTTTACCACTATGCTCACTTGCTTACAATGCCTCTGTAGATCATTCTTCTTGTTTGTGCATATTTTGTGTTTCTGTTTATTCTTGTTTATCTGTTGCAAAGAACTAGATCTCTGCAGAATCTGCAGCACACATTCCCTTGGCCTCTCTTCTTATCCCTACATTTTGAAACACTTCACTTCCCCCATGTGTGTCTTAAAGGATAATTAAAGCTGGAGAGCTGAACTCTCTTTCCAGACAGATGTATTTTTGTTGCCATTTCACAAGATTATTTAAAATTTGGGATTTTTTTTTTCTCCATCTTTTTCTGGCTCCCTCTTTCTGTCACTCCTCTGCATTTCCACTCTTTCTACCCTGATATGTTTTGGAGACCAGACGTAGGTCTCAGAGCCCAGACTGGTTGCCATGGGGACAGACGTAACACAAAGCATAAACAGAGAGATGAGAGAAGAGGGGGATGATGGCGGGGAGGTAAGATAGAGAGAAAACTGAGATGAAAGAGCAAGTGGAAAGGGCCAAAGGCTAACTTACTGGGAGTTTGGTCCAGAAATGGAAGATCTGCATGGAAAAGACCCAATTTTGGGGGGCTACTTATCTTAACAAGATCTGATCAGAATTATAAATAACTAACTTCTGATATATTTATGAAACCTTTTTTTTTTTTTTTTTTTTTTTTTGAGGCCTGGATACACGTCATACACTTCCTGCATGCTTTAAAACAGTCCTAGTGTTGAGAATCTGCAGGCAAATATCAACACAACTTATAAAATCAGTTACCATCTTTCAGAAATGTACAGTTGTACTGCAGTTCAGCCTTTGCCCTGCAGGGGCAGCAATGAGCACACTGCTGCCGAGCAGCTCTCCAGGTCATATCGTTGAATGCATCATAAAATGA